ATGGCTTCCTCCAGCCGGCTCCTCCTCTCCTTATGAGCTACGCGCTTTGTTATCGAAGTTGTGCGATCTGTAAGCAAAGAGCATGAGAAACAGTATTCTCACAATATACCACAATATAGAGAATGCTAGGAATTAGTTAAGAGCAAAGGATAAATGTAAAATATAGGTTGACTTACCAAGTAGTTATGTACAAATACTATTACATTAAAAGTTTCTTTCTCTAAGTTTATGTTGCAGCTCTCACCACCATCGCCGCCTGGTACATGCTTCGACTGAAAAATTCCAATCCTTCAATGCTGTCTTAGAATCTGAAGAACATGTTGAGGCAGAAATTCCTTGGAATGCGCAGTGGATTATTTTCTTCCTCGTACGTTAAGCACGCCTTTCGGCGAAATATTCGTGAGTGAATTAATAGAGTCATCGTAATTTGCAGCTTCATCTTATTCTTGTCATCACTGGTATCGTGTGCGTCAGTTTAGCCTTGAGTTGCTACTTTCGTCGGGCAACAAAGAGAAATCGACGAGATTTTGGTGAGTTAAAAAATAGAAAGCATATCCTCTACTTTGCAATTATTTGACGTATATATCACTGCGGTCTTCAAATTATGAAGAGTAAGCAGTAGCGAGAAAAATTTTCTTTTCTACACTTTCTACTTGTGCTGCACCTAAGTAGCAAAACTAGATATTTTCTCGTCAATTCGTTTTGAACATTTAAAAAGCCAACAACTAAAAAATTTCCCGAGCATATTTTTCTCCAACCCTCCCTATTTCAGGAAAATATACAGTGCTCCCCAGTATGCAACCCAAAGCTTGTAATGAGGTGCGTTACTATTGTGGAAACTTACCATTAATTCTCATTTCATAGCAATTCTCCAGATGTACCTGCCACCACCTAAGTACGAAGAAGCAACTGCAGAAATGCGTCCTGCACTTGTAAACACAAAATTTCCAAGAGTGCCTTTTTTGGAAAACACTCTCCACATAACGAATAAACACGGAAAGTCTCATAAGCTATTACGTATAACAACCGTGGAAAAA